TGTATTTTTTAAATAAAAAAAAAATTTTGAATTTACTTACTTGTAGCCAGAGTTAGAGGCAGTCGGATACTTATGACTGCTACTGTATATATATACCTTACCCTAACCTAACCCTAATCATAACCCTAACCTAATTCTAAACTATGTGACATTAACATAGATAACAAATAGGATTTTACACATGAAAAAATTTCTCTATCTTTAAAATATATATGAAAAATAAAAAAAGGTGGGATATGATACAGGTAACAAGAAGGAGGTGATGATACCTATAATGAATAAATTTACTCTTTATAAAATATTAAAATTTAGCTAATTTTGAATTATAAAAATTTGCAAAATATTTTAAATATTTCAATTTTCAAAATATTAGTAATTTTAAATTAAACTAATATTTAAGATATTATAATTATAATATTTATTTATAATATATAAATTTTGTTTTAGGTTATTGAAAAATTAATATAAAAGATTCATAATAAGAAACAATTAAAAATAATTAAAATTATGAAATATAATATGTTATTAAGTCTAAAGTTCATATCACGTAATTATTATAAAAGTAATCAAATTGTATTGTATTACTGATAATTCAGACTAGTGATTGAAATTTTCATAGAATTTATCAGAATTTATAATAATTTACATTAATATTACCTTATAATTTTATAATACATATTAAATTTAAAACATTGATCCAAATATATAATTCTAGATAACATAACTTTAACTTTATCATATTGTAAATATTAGATTTTCTTTAATAAATAAATAAATAAATTTATATATATTTAAATAATTTAAATAAATATAATTTAAGTCTGAAAGATATTGTAAAAGTATAAATTATATAATAATATAAATATAATCAAATCGTTTTATTTATAATAATTCTATTATTATCATTTAATTATTAAATATAAAGTAAAATGTATAACTCATTTAAATAATTGATTAATACAAAATAAAATTAAAAATTTCATAAAATTTATTATTTATAAGGATATATATAAGAATATTCATTTATATAAATATCATAACTATTTATTATTTAAACTAAAAATTTTAAATTTAATCATTTCTATAATAGACAAAATATAAATTAATTAACTAATCCAAAAACTATCCAAAAAATATAGGAATAAAAATAATAAGACAGATGAGTAACAAATAATATAACTTAAATAAGAATGTGAATTAAAATACTAAAAAGAATTAGATAAATTAAAGAACAAAAGAAATACATTTGTAAGTAATCATGAAAATAAAAATAGAGAAATTCAAATAAAAACTGAAGAATATAAAAATAAACTTAAACAAACTAGAAATGAAAATCAATCATATTAGGATATTAAATTACAATAATATTAAAGAAAAAATGAATGAAACATTAAAGCATTTATTTAGGTTATCTGCTTTAAGTATCAATAAAGAAAAATTTTGTTTATTGTAAAATTTTCTCAATAGATAAAAAATATTTATTATAAAACTTATAATATATATAATAAATATATAGCATCATTTTAAATTATTAAAGAAAATGCAAATATTGTTACAAGAAAAAGTTAATATCAAAAAAATTTTATTAGAAAATAATATGAAACTAGATAAAGTTTTAAATAAATTCAAAAAACTTATCAAAATAAAAAAAATAAATATATTTACAATAATTATAGTTTATAGATTTAGAGAAAGTTAAAATGAATATAGAGAAAATATTATATAGAATAAATCTTATAATTTTTTAAAAAGAAAAAATAATTTATATAATTATACAAAATTAATAATAATCAATTATTAAAAAAATTAAATAATATTATTTAATTTTGTATAAACTTAAATCTAAATTATATATTTTATAGTAAAATTTAAACTTATATGATAATTTTATATAAAATCTTTAATAAAATTAAATGTATTAAATTATATTAAAATTTTAAGTTTAAATTTGAATAATATATATTTTTCAAGTTTCTATTATTATAATATATAGAAAATAAAGAAAATAGTAATTATATGATAAATAATAAAATAGGTTGCATATTAGTATAATGGATATGCTTTATATCACTTTACTGATCATTTATCAATTACATATTATTTTTTGTTAAAAGTCATTAAAATTCTTAAATAATATAAGTTAAAAACTGGATAACACTCTTATAAGAGTGTTATCTAGTTCAGCTATAGTGTTATCTAATTGTGAGTAAACTATTATCTAGTTATAAATATATTATTACCTAGTTACTGTTTTTAGTATTCTGTGATCTTTTTATTGCTTTATTACTATCCATTTGATTTTATTGCTCAGTAATCTTTTTATTGCTTTATAGATATTTGCTTGATTTTATTACTTCATCCACTTTTTATTTCCTTCTAACTATCTGCTTGCTTTATTGTTCTGTGGCCTTTTTGTGATCAAAATATTAGGCCAGTATTGATTGCTAAAAATCATGTTGTGATCAGGTGACGCAGTTAATTTGCGGATCAGATTTTGGCCAGCATTATAGCATAATTTCTAGCCAATATTTAGGGCGAAATATCTTGGCTTTCTGTGATTGGTTTTATACGGTTTTATGATTGTTTGAAAGAGGACGTTAAGAGCTTTCCAATGATACTAAGATCGCATGAATCAGATGTCTGAATATTGAGTTATTGCATCTCAAAGTTTTGAAAAAAAATGAGTACTGGTTAAAATTAACAAAATTTACTACACCAATTACGTGTTCAGTTCCTTGTACTTTCCTGTTACTTTCAAGTAATTTTTGAGTAATTTTTGAGGACCTGATTTAGTAGTCAGTTGATTAGAGAATCAGAGGTGTGATAGATATTATTATAGCCAACCTATTTGATTGCTAGATAAGACACAAAGTACTGAATTTGCAATCCATCTATTTGCTAAAGATGTGTTGCAATCCATTCACTCACTTTTGATTGCCAGTAAGGTGTAAAGTGCTGATATTATGCCATTTTTGCAATTCTGTCTATAACTATTTTGATTGCCGAGGATAAGACACGAAGTGCTAAATTAGTTTAGACTACATTGCTTTTATACTTTTTTTTATGTATTCTCCTGAACCTTTCTGCCTTTCTGACCTCTTTCCTGCCTATTGGCAATAGTACCCCAAGTTGTAATTTCTTATTTTCTTTTCTATATATTATTCTAACTTGGAGTACTACTAATTTTATATCTTATTTTTCACTTCTGCCTTTCTAGAATCCTTTCCTATATAGTTACTACTCTGGGATACTTTTAGGATATTATCACATCTATCAGGAAAATTTTTAGGCTGCAGATCTGCAGAGGTCTGTGGATTAATTTTCATATGCAGATTTTAAAATATAACACTGAACTTTGGAGAAAAAATTTTATAGTTTCTGTGTATGTTTTCAGATTATTAAAATTATATGCAAAATATTATAGGATAAATCTTTAAAATTTCATGATATTAAAATTATACGCAGAATTTTATAAAATAAATCTTTGAAATTTTCAGGTTATTAAAGTTATACATAAGTTTTTATAATATTAATTTTTGAAATTTTATGTTATTAAAATTATATATAGAATTTTATAGAATAGATCTTCAAAGTTTATATAATAATAATAATATCATTTTATAATATACTGTATCTAACAAAAAAAAACTAATATGATTAGCGTAGCGAAACTTTTAAGATTTTAGAAGTTTCAATCAAGCCCGAAAATTTAATAATATATGATATTTGTTAATTGGTTACCATAATGAAAAAGTAAATCAAAGTATAGCGATTATTAACAAATTGTAGCTTACTAAGTTGTCATAATCGTCATTATCTTTCGCTATTATTTCACTTTTTGTAACTTGTGATGACAATTTAGTTCATTTTTTTGTACAACAGCAACTTCAGCTTTCTCTTTGGTTATTTGCTCCATAATTTCTAGCGTAAGGGGCTATTATTTTCATATATATGCTGTTTAATAAATATTTTCAAAGTTATATGTATTTTAATATGAATGAAGTATTCAGAATATGAAATACTATAAATATAGTTACTAAGAAGGCATTCACTCATTTCACTACAGACTTATCATTACATTTTATCCTAGAACTTTTCAGGTTTAAGAGAATGTCACATATAGTGATAATGTATGTGTAATGTGTTGTTAGAAATTCCTGATTCTTGTACTGTTTAAATACTATATAACCTATTTCTATAAGTATTTTATTATCATAAAAAAGCGCATTGTAAGTGTTTTTCATTTTTTTGCTCGATTTCTATTTGACAATTTTGGCAGCTGATGTGTTATTATCTATATAATCTAATTTATCTCCAAAGTTAATAAATAATGCATGGCAGATACTTGTTACGATATCATTACATTTGCTACGATATTTATTTTTAATCTAAAAATGTAAAAATATAAGAAATAATATCATAATTTTTTGAAGTTCTTTAAAGTTTTAGGATTTCAACTTACTTTTGGTAACAACTTATCTTTGAACATAGAAACCCAACTGTTTCTGCTGATACTTTCAATAAAATAAGCAGCATGTTCAGAGAGAAATTCTTTTAATGTATTATGAAATTTGCTGACAAAAGAAAATAAAACATTTGTAATAATTTCTTAACTACTTCCCTGTATACGTGTTATAAAATTATAGTAATCTTTAAGTATCTTAAAGGTCAAAATAGTACTATTGAATATATTAAATTACTCACATTCCAAAATTTTTCTGAAAGTTCATTGAATGCAATAAGTCTTTTCAAGGCTTTACTGTTTTTCTGTTGCTTATTGTTGATATACTTACAAAGTTTATATAATAAGGTAATTTTCGTATAAAAAAGACCTATAATAATGTCAAATTCCTCTTTTGTAAGGCTTGTCGATAACGCAGGTCCTCATGAGGTTGTCAAAACTTTGGTAGCAATTGAACCATAATCTTTTCCAGAGTCTCTGAAGGTATCATCAAAATAATCATTGTTGAGTTCCATGTCTATAGGCTCTCATTCAATTGATTTTCTGCACCCTATATCTATGTCGCTTGTTAATGATTCGATTGATTTTCTCTGCTTCATATTAATATCATTTATTAATAGGTTGGTTGATAAAATTTCTTGGTTTTTCTCGAAAGTAAGTGTTTGTTTACGTAAATTTTTATGCGAACCTGCTTGCTCTTTTTCATTTGATTTTTTGCTACAAGTTATCATTTGTGAAAACTTATTTGTAATAGATTTTTTCCACATTTGCTGTTTCTACAGATATTTCTTCATTTTTATATAACCTATTTTTTCCTTTTTTATTGTTTGGCATATTGAATAAAAATTATTTAGAAAATATCATTATATATAAGTGAAAAAAGGATTAATTTAAGAAAAATTATCATTGGAGATTATCGACTTTCATGCCTTAAATATATGAAATAATGTGTCAGAAGAATTTGATAAAAAACCTCAAAAATAATCAATTAAAGTTAAAAATACTTTGAAATTATTTAAAAATATTACCTGAATCAATTAAAATAAAAATATTTAGAAATTATTTAAAAATATCAGCTGGATCAATTAAAGTAAAAATTATTTAATATCACCTAAATCATCATAATGAATTTTTCTCAATAAATCGTTGATTTGTAATCGAAAAATATTTCATACATTTTAGCTCCAATGGGTAAATTTCTTTGCAAAATTTGTAAGAGAGATTTTCATTCTCAAGTGGATTAACACGACATACTAATGCCGTGCATCATGATAAAACATTGCTTTTTCAAATATCAGAATCACAGCAATTAACACAAAGTCTAAAGCATGATTCGATCTTATGGAACATGCCGATTACAAGATGACTGGAGTCAACTTTGCCTTCTTTTGCAGAAAACTTCACATCACATGTTGATACAGTGGATGTAGTAGATGAAATCCACGAAAGCAAATCACAGAATTAATATACATGAAATCAAATTGAATCAAAGAACGAAAATAATATAGAAGAAAATATGAAAGAGATAGAAATAGACTTATAAACAGACATGGATCATGATTTTGACTCTAAAGATCTTCAGGAAGCATCTTTTGATGATGCTTTAGGTATCATTGAAGGAAAAAATAGACTGAGTATATAGCGATGTAACCAAATGATGCATATCACGATTTTATAAAGTTAATAATAGAGGTAATGTTTCTAATAAGATTGGTAATAAAATAATAAAATTTTTCAATAAATATAGCAATTTGAAAATCTCTCCATTGCCAAGTTTGACGAAAAATGACAAAGATTACTTTAATCAAATCAATTCACTTTTGCTAGATTTTAAAGAAAAAGTTATTACAGAATTGATTTACCCTCTATTATCAACTAATTTTTACGCAATTCAGATGCTTTTACAGCGTTCAGTAGCCAATAAATTTGTTTATAAAGAAAACCTGAGAAAGGATGATAATGAAAGAATATTTAGAGAACTATTCGAGTGTAACTAGTGGCTGAAAACGGAGAAAACTCTTTTACCTTTAAATCACCTGTTGTCCATTATTTTGTACTCGGATGCAACAACTTTTGATGGACTTGAAAAAACATCTGAACACCTAGTATTTTTAATACTTGAGAACCTTCTGAATTGGTTTTGAAACCTACCAGAAGCTAAAGTTCTTTTAAGATTCTTACCTAAGGTACAGGATTCAGGAATCAAAACTTCTGAATCATTCAGGATTTTACAATGTAAAATATTTCATAAATATTTTGATACCATACTTCGACCACTATTAGAGAAATCTGATGGGCTATATTTCAGAGTCAAAAGACAGCCTATGTCTTTTGCGGTTTGCATATTATTTTCCTTTTGGATATGCTTGAAGCAAATGAAATAACGGTAACATACAAGTCAGCCTGAAGTAAATACCATGTCATACTTATATGGTCTCGCAGAATGACCTAAATATTATGAGTATCACATTAGATAATATGCCTTTCAGAACTCATGAAAACATGCAGAAAGTTATACGAAGAGGCCAAGAAAAGAACTTTTCTGTGCATTTTGTTGAAAATGCGTTTTAGAAATTTTCTTAAATATCACCTTTTAATAAAATATTTGCATATTTAAATCAATTAAACTGAATTTCAATAAAATTTCGCAGAAATTTGAATATTTACAAAGCCTGCGTTCCTGATTGGATGCATCACATTGATCTTGGGCTCTTTAAATACCAACTAGAATTTATACAGGATATTCTAAAAGAAGTCAGAGGAACAGAGTTACAGAAAGTTTTTAATGATCATCTTTGTAATATTTCTCATTTTCCTGATCTCAAACTAATAAGTAAACTAGGTCATTTAAAAATGGCTACCGTGTCAGATTATCAAAATATAATGAAAATCGCTTTTTGCTTTGGATGATATCTTTGATAAATGGAACGAAATAATATGTGATGAACTTTGTAAACTTTATTCGAAATTTAGTAAAATATATATGACGAGCAGAAAAGCATTATATACAGAAAATAATATAAAAAAATTTGAGGTAATTGATTGTATTTTTAGTTAAAACTTAGTTAAAATTAGCAAAATATTAATAAATTCTGTTAGCAGAAATTAATTATTGATTGGACTACTGACTTTAAGAGAATATTCTCTTCGTTATCATCAACAGCATGTAGTTTTCCTAAACTGCACAGTTGGCAATATCATACAGGTAACTGTATATTATTTGATTATAAATATATTTTCATAACTAATCTGATTTTGTTAGTCCCTGCAATTTACAAATATGGAGCATTAAATGGGCTGTTAACAGAAACTTATGAGACTCTTTACAAGTATTATATCAAAAATCCTTATCAGTCTTCTAACAGGAAAAATGTGATGTGTCAATTAATAAACGCTATTAGTATAAATCTGAACAGACATTATTATATTCTAAATAATTAAATATAATTAATCTTTAATTTAGTATATTAATATTATAGGCAAAATATAATGAATTTTCTTTGGCGATTCTTAAAGTTATTTAACATAAAAGTGAAGGGTTTGGAAAAATTCTTTGGGAGTTACATCTAGATGCTATTGATCAAAAAATAAAAGACTTTAAGAAATCAGAAAATCTGCTGCATATAAATTTTATCGAAGGATTATCCTAAATAATTTTAGCTCTAGATATCTTTCTAGATACTTCTTCATAGAATTCTGAAAGTGACGAGTTTTATATTAAAATTTATGAATCAGTTCATTTGGAAAGTGGTAAGATTTTAAGAACTTTTGAAGGGTACTAAGGCAAAAAATGGTTCAGTAATGTGGTGGTAAATCCTACAGTAGATCAAGATTAATACAACTCAGATGAGAACGCGTGATATGGAAAAGTAAGTAAATTTTAAAGAATGTTGAATGTAATTTTTTCTTTAATAAATATCAGAATATTTTCTAGGTATTGTTATTATTTAAATTCTTTTGAGGGTCATTCAAAGAGCCATACGAATTTGCTCTTGTTCGCTGGTTTGATATTGACCAAACAGAACCTAAGCTTTATAGTTATTCACAACTATTTTACATGAAAGAATATAGTGCAATTCCGATTGGTTCTATCAGTCAAGAAGCACATATCATGCTGAGGTTTGACAAAGAAAATAATTTTTTATTAAATAAATATATATTCTAATAAAAAGACACTAGATATTCTGTCAGTTAAAGTATTATTAGGCTTGATTGGTTAGCAAAGTTATTATTAAAATATAGTTTATTATAAAAACTTCAGTTGGTATACGAAAGAAAAAAAAAAAACTTTTTTTTAAAAAAATTTCAAAGTTTTAGTTTAATTAAATAAACCTTGAAAAAGTTAAGATTTAGTTTATCTGAAAGTTTATTATGTTTATAGATCCTATTTGATATATTGAATTTTTGCAGATTGAAGTATGTTCATGTTTGAAAATTACGACTGTTTGAATTTTTAAGGTTATCACAGATATTTTATTCAGAAGATTACATTTTCATAGATCTACGTAAATATGCAATATAAAAAATTAGCCAATATGCATTTTTGCATGTTTCTTACTGAAACTTCTTAAAAAAAATACTATGATCTTTATTTACAGATCATTGTTGAATTGTATCAAAGAATTGTATAAAAATTATAAAATTGCAGACCTCTACAAATCTGCGATCCAAAAATTTTCCAGATGTCGACCACTTTGAAGTATTATCACATTGATTACTTTAGGATATTACCATATCGTTTACTTTCTTTTAGCTTAGTACTAGGTATTACCACTGATCCAATGTTTTTCTAGTAAGCATATTCGTTCAAAATTATATAAAATATTTATTTTAAACTTTGCTAGTTTCTCTGTTATTTTATATTTTTTTGAATATACTGTCATGTTACTTGTATAAAAAAAATGCTGGGCCTCGCTCACTTATTTGTTCTGAATTACTTGAATTAATTTTTAATAATCTCAAGATTAAAGATATACTATATTCCTGTCTTACTATGAATTATCAATGGAATTTTGAAGCATTTCGAGTTATTTTAAAGCAAAAAGAAAGGGAACTTCATAAAAATCTTGATTTTATAAAATATCGGTTAGACTAGAGTAAATAAGAAATAACCTATATTCATATAGTTCTTTATACTTTGTATTATGATTGGATTACAGCAAGAGAAGAAATTGCAAATGTTCATGTAATAATCAAATTCCATATAAATAATCTTACAAGAATTCTTCTCTGTCTTATTAAGTCTTCTGTTTTATGAAATAAATTTTATATACAATGGCAAAATCTTTATAAACAGACAAAAAAATTGTTAAAAGATATCGATCTACTTGATGATATCAATAATACATAAAAAGAGCAAATATATAGACAAGATTGTTGAGCTATATTGTCAAGTACTCTTAGCTGAAATTACTACTTCCTGCTAAAAATACTGATAATACTTATTTTTTACTTATGCAATAGTAGTGACCAAATTTAATTTTACTTTTCTGGATTTGCATATATTCAGATTGATTCTTCCAATCAAATTATTCTGAAGCTAGTGATCATTACCACAAATTTCTGTATGTGATATTTTATTGCACCTATAAAATGCAAGATGAAATTAACACTAAAGCTCTAGCATATACCTAGCGATGTGAAGGAAGATACTTAAATAAAGTTAATTTTAATATATATTTATGATCATGTAAAAAGGGTCATCAATGGAAAATGCTATATAAAAATATAAAGCAAAATTATAGGTGGTGTAATATTTGCTCTAATA